TGATGTTAGAGCGTTGTTGAGAGAGAACAAGAATGTATTGGAAACCCTTAACTCTTCACCTGAACAGTTTATGTTTTTGTATATGGTATCATTGTAATCCTTGACCATCAAAACATAGGGATAGACATCACCTTTTCTGTGTTATCATGTTTTGTTCAGGAGCTATGACACAAAATACATAATTTGGTTATGGCAGAAAGTAAAATGGCCGCCATGGCAACCACAAGGTGTTTTTGCGATTACTCCATTTCTGAAAATGTTTAGGGCCGCAAACTATGCAAGTGTACCAAATTTCATGCTTTTATGAAAAAGTGAACATTATTTTCACATATCACCTGGACTATATGGTTTTGTTTGAGATGGTTAGTGCTGGTCTGTAACCAAAAGGAATTGTTTACCCCAAAATGACATCATTTACTCACCCTCATTATTCATTGATCTTTTTCTCCACCAGATCTCGGAACATCTAAGTTCAGCTTTTGTTCAATTAAAAAAGCCGGAAGCAGCTGGATTTAGCTCTCCCAGCCTGACTGAGCTAAAGAGTGTAAAACCCCTCTAATACCAGCCTACAAACCAGCTATGACCAGGCTGGATGACCAGCTAAAACCAGCCAACCAGCTTTCATTTTAGCTGTTTCTTTCAGCAGGGAATGCTGACACTCATTGAAAAAAACATGCTTGCGGTGGCATTTCTGTTTTCGTGACACTTTCAAAGTGGAATGTCCAATGAGTGGCACTAAAAGTGTGTTCAATTTTATGTGAAACAGATGAATGTGCATCTGGGTGACCATACGTGCTCTATTTCCTGGACACGTCCTGGCCAGGATTTCTCAGTTGCCTTAAAATATCCAGGTTTTGGCTTTGTTTTCCTGCTTTCATACTTGCTGAAGATAATGATCGAAAAGTAGTTGTACCAATAACATGCAGGCATTGTACATTATCGACCAGTCGTGGCGCGTGAGAAGGTGGGATCTACAGAGAATGGTCAAAGCGATGCAAATGCGTTACTGGGCGAGAGGCCACACAGCTGACCGACACCGGATCCCCAAATTTCACCACTATTCTGGAGGGAGATATCTCTAGCGAGCAACTGTCACCTGACACTGAAGGAGGTGTGAATCAGAGTCATCAATATCACACTTATTAAATATTAGTATGCCATAGGCCTATATAGAAAATGTGAATATTTTCTAGCATATTTAAAAACAATTATTGTTTCATAAACCATGTTTCAATGCTTTCCATCCAAAAGTAGATTAAATAATTATTTTTATAACAAATTTTCTTTCTACTAAGAAATACTTTTATGATGACCAATGTCAAATATTTCTTGAATGAACTTTACAAACTGCCAAAAACATTACAGATAAATTCAGTAGGTTTTCATGGGAAGTTGGCAAGTGCAAACAGATATGCACTGCATAATTGTTTACTCTCAGCTTAACCTGAAATACTATTAAACAACTAGCGTTATTTGCACACAGAAACATCTTACCTATTCCGATAATGTACAGACCGAGAAACCATAAGAGATTAGTTTTCATTTTGATGAAAATAGTTGAAATCTGCTAGAGTCCGCTCACAGAGGCAAGAGGAATTCCGCCACGGTCTTGCTTGGCAACTAAAAACTGAACAGTGACAGCCAACAAAAGCCTTGTACTGAAGGGCCTGGAAGGGGATTGAAGTAGTGGGCCTCATTAAAATCAGCTCTCCCTCTGCTTGCACTTTAATATTTCTCATCCTCTCTATATGTATCTTGCGAAAATGTCTTTTTTATATCACATTTAAGTCTAGCGTACTGAAGCATTAACACATTAGAATGTCTGTTTAATTTTATTATCGTATTTGTCTTTCAGCTTAAAGTTGCCAGTTGCAATAAATAGTTTAACGGCTCATGTTTATTGTTTTCGTGGATCACAACATACATAAACTATATTTTAACTGACTGCATACGGTGAATATTTATTATTTCTGCTGACACGTGCCACAGAGATGTCACTGTTTATGCATAGCGTCTCTTTATTTTATTTTTTACATTCGTTTATGTTAGTCAAGAGCTACTGAGTTCCAGCTACCTGTCTTAAAATGCCTCACTGCAGCAAGGTTGCTATGCCAACACTCACTCACTGGCAGACTGAAGTCGCACAGGTCGCTGTGTTAAACACACAAAAGAGACACAAAGAAGACTTCATTTAAAAAGCATAAGGATTAGAATTGATGTGTTCCCCTAAAGTACTTATTACTTCCTTGGGTGTGATACAACACCACAGTAACTTTCATAACATTCATGTAGCATCCAGATGTTAGTAATTTGTTCAGGTTCTTAATATTGTCACATTGGTCAAACATTAAAAAGTGAACTAGTTTTGGGTGTTCAGTGTGGTTGTTTACTGGCCCAAGTCAAAAGAGCCTACTGTACGTCACATAAGTCAAGTGGTCAAGTGCAAAGACCGCAAGTGCGGGTATTTGCACAAGGGGTTTGTTGAGTGACACTGACATTGAGAAACTCCACCCTAGTTGTCACAGTTTCCACATACTCACAAAGCACATTTCCCTCAACAAACTGAAACTGAGCAAATTAGAACAATTAACACTGAGAAAGAAATCAAATCCAAAGAAGCCAAAGTTTATTTTGCTGCTGTTCAACGGCTCAAAATATATATTTTTTGTGTTGTTCAAAACATCTTGTAGGGCCAAAAAGAATGTTTTACATGAAGAAGAAGAAAAAACAAAGCTTTCGGGGGAGGGGGACCAGAGAAATGAGATGCTTCCCTTGGTAGCTGGTGCCCTGTGCACTCAGTGTACTCATCTTGTGCTCAGCTCACATTCACACCGAGTACAGAAGAATTTTAAAAGCTGCTCTGTGCAGTGAATACATATGCTAAATTCCTTCTAAATATGGTGTTACAGGGTGACAAACAAATCAAATATACTAGATTACTGATGTTATAAACAATAATGTCAAAAATGTAAAATTGTGTAATGGACCTTTTTCACATTTCCGGGTTTCTCAGCAGTAGAAGTCGTCGTAGTTGGGTAAACGTCTATAGCAGTGAATGGGAGACTACCACAGATATATTTTTTGCATTCCCATTTGCTCAAACAGCAAAAGAAAAACTCCATGATAGCGTATTCATGACTTTCAAAAAAGGAATAAAATAGAGAGAGACTGAAAACTGCAGTCAGTAGAGAGAACGATGTCAAATTTACCCTAGGGTTGCCAGCCGTCCCGTATTAGCCGGGACGTCCCGTATTTTGGGCCTAATTGATTTGTCCCGTACGTGACTTTCCTTGTCCCATTTATTGACTGCTACGCTGATCTAACCACTGACTGATACAACAGCAGCAGTGCTGATCACTTGAGAATGATCACCGATACCTTTCATCATCCAATCACAGCCCCCCTGACGCAGTATACGTTAAATAAATCAGAAATAAAAACAATCCTCTGCCAGGTGTCCTGACATTTTATCCTACCCATTTATGTTTCCTGCGCATGCGCACATCAATATTGCGTCCTTTTTCTCATGCTGAACAACAATATTTAATGTATCTGCATTACTGTAAGGGTAGGTTTAGGGTTGGGGTAGGTGTAGACTTTAATAAAAAAAAATCTAATAGGTAGAAAAAATTATTTATTGTTGGTTTCCTGTAGCTGTATCCCTTCTAGCTACAACCACGAATATAACACATAATTACTGTATTTGCATTACTGTAAGGGTAGGTTTAGGGTTGTGGTAGGTGTAGACGTTAATAAACCATAATTTTACAGGTAGCATTTTTCGTTGTCGAATTGTACTACCCACTTGAGACTTGATCAGTAAGGGAAGTCATCTTTCACTATTGTAATGTTGTTAAATAGAGAAAAATATTTTATATTTAAGTAAGTAATAGCATAATTGTTAACCTTGGACCTTATTCTTGAAACACATTCTTGAATGACCAATAAAAAGGTGTCAAGCACCAAAAGCAGCCCCTATTAAATCTATAAGCTGTCTTTAATTGAAAAATACGCATTTTCATGCATACAGCCAACAACAACAGCCAAGGTGTGACCACTTTTCAAAAACACTTAAAAGAGTTAAAGGACAATGATCAATGCAACCAGCAACTGGCAGAATATAAGAACAGTCCAGAATGTGGGACGACTGCCTGTGGAAGAAAAGCAGTATTAATGATGGTACAAACAGAAACAACACTCAGTGTTTTCAATGCTAAATATCTACAGATGCACTCTTAAAAATACAAGTTCCATGGTGCCTTAGAGGAACCATTCTTGGTTCCCAAAAAACCCCTTCATTGAACAGTTCTTAAAGGAATTTTTTTCCAGAAGGAACTTTTTGTGAAATGGAAAAATTCCATGGATGTTAAAAGTTCTTCATGGAACCATGCATGCCAATAAAGAACCTTCATTTTTAAGAGTGTACAAAAGAGTGACTCTGGTTTTACACCCAGAAATCAAACACAATGTACAAAATAATAAACACTCAATCCAACATCCAGAAAAAAATTATCATAAAGTATTCAAGTCATCGAATATGTCACAAAAGTGCACTCATAATTAATGAGAGCAAAACAACTAAGCTAAATACATACATTCAAACAAAAAATAAAAAATGCAATACTATGGGATGAAATTAGTCTCAAATTTACTAACGAATGCATGCACAATTATTCATGAACTTGATAAATGTTGCAAATGTATTTTACTATCCACAACCAAATGTCTGTCAGCTTGTGTCTGTGAAATTCAGAATTAGCATGAATGTGCAGCGGTTTGTACAAATAGAAACATGTTTGTGAATACAGAGGATTTATTTTGCAGTAGTGTATCAGAATGTGTGCATGCAACAAGGAAGATGTGCATTTATGGACCGGGTGGCACGCTTGCATTCATTGACATCTCTTCTGAGTCGATTCTATTTGATTCATTTGGATTTTGAGACTTTATTTTTGCAGTTTTCAGCATTTCACAACCCACACAGAAACAACTACCAATTAATAAGACCCAGCGCTATTCATCAATGTGTGCACATGTATGTCAAAATGTCTAAATTAACATTCATGAAATCTTATTCAAATATAAACAAGATAATAATCACTGCATTTTCTCATTTTACAAAGATTTTTCATTTATAACCCACCTGTAGATTTGATGATAAATCCCGGACGAGCCCTCCTCTGGCTTTCCAGCCATTTGATGATGAACACTTTGCTGTCGCTTCCCAGAGAGTTTGTGGCGGTGCACGTGTAGTTTCCTGGACTGAGGAGGACTGTGGAGGACTGGAGCACTGAGGAGCTGATCTCCTCTTTCAGATGCTCTGAGTGCCATGTGTACTTAGGAGCCGGGTTTGCCTTCACTGTACAGTTTAGCGTGACCTCGTCGTTTTTAATGATGGTCTCTGTTGAATTGGAGTGTTTTGGTTTATCTGAGAAGGACAGAGAGACATTTAATAGCACAACAGCACCATGATGAGCAGCTGTTATTAATAAATCAGTAAAATACTGTACAACTGAAACCATTCATGTAATATTTGATAAAATGATCTCAGTTAATATGCACATCTCTGTATGTGATGAAATATGACAGTTGCACATCCTTCACACTAGAAGGCCATTCAGAAAATATAAACTGAATTATACGGCAAGTTTAGCAATAATAAACTTACAGTTCAATTCAACATTAAGACGTCCTGATGTTTCTTTTGGAGGAGGTTGAGGTCCTTCTGCTCCCAGTTCCAGCTCTGCTTCACACCTGTATTGAGCTCCATCATCAGCTCTGTCTGGACGGATCAGGAGTGTGGTGGTTTCATTCACTGGAGTCTTGTTATCCTCAGTGAAGGTGGTTTGATTCAGCAGAGTCTAAGGACAGAGAGACATTTAATAGCACAACAGCACCATGATGAGCAGCTGTTATTAATAAATCAGTAAAATACTGTACAACTGAAACCATTCATGTAATATTTGATAAAATGATCTCAGTTAATATGCACATCTCTGTATGTGATGAAATATGACAGTTGCACATCCTTCACACTAGAAGGCCATTCAGAAAATATAAACTGAATTATACGGCAAGCTTAGCAATAAAAAAACATACAGTACAACTCAACATTAAGACGTCCTGATGTTTCTTTTGGAGAAGGTTGAGGTCCTTCTGCTCCCAGTTCCAGCTCTGCTTCACACCTGTATTGAGCTCCATCATCAGCTCTGTCTGGACGGATCAGGAGTGTGGTGGTTTCATTCACTGGAGTCTTGTTATCCTCAGTGAAGGTGGTTTGATTCAGCAGAGTCTGTCCTTTGTACCATTTGACAGTGAGATTCTGAACAGGAGCCACATCGTGAACATCACACTGGAGCTCATACTGCTTTCCCTCTATCATTGGTCCTCTGTGATTCACAATACTGATGGACACACTGTCTGGAGTCTCTGTGGAGGAAGATTTACAAACTCTGAAATCTGCAGTGATGAATGTACATTTATTAGATATTTCTGAGAATGAAAAGACAAAAAATTAAATAACAGGGAAACTGACTGTAAATAGTGACTGGGAGCTCTACTTGACACTGTTCCTCATGGTTTATGTAGCAGTATGGCTGTATGTCCCATTCTATCAGATTTGACACTCTCCATGTGATCAGACTGTCTCTGGTCATGGTCACTGCTCCCTCACTGGCTTCCCATCCCATCCCTTGATGTGGGACTGAAGTGCTACAGTTAACTGCTACAGAATCGCCGTATCTCACAACAGCTCTCTGTGGGTTGAGCTGAACAGGACATTCAGCTCGTGTACCTGTTAAACAAAACAAGAAGGATTTTTTTAATAAAACACACAAATGCACAAAATATTTTCTAATATGTTAATATAATACACAAAATCAGAAAGTAACCTCACTACAGAAATGTTTCATATACGGTATATAAACTATTCATTCACAGTATCTGCCTTTCATAATGGTATTACTATCAAACTATTCATTTGTCTACCATTTAATCTAACTGATCGTAATGGTTAATCAATGGATCATTTGGTGCACCTATAGATTTCTATATACAGTATATCATGATAAGAAAAAAAAAATGTCAGAACTGAACTTAGCACTCCAAATATTAGTCCTTAGAGAGATAACACAGTTATAATCATTTAATCTCCAATAAAGTACTACATAAAACATATTTAGGCTCATTAGATAACAGATGTTTGCACTTCAGGCATTGAACAAATAAAACATACAAACCTGTGAGATTCACAAGCTGTGAAACTGCAGAGAGATAAACAAATCCAAAGAAACGTTGAAACATATTTAATGTGCTCAGGGAAAAGCAATTGAACAGAAAATGTCGTAAATAGACCGAACTTTATGATAGTAACTCTGACTGTACAGTCTGTGACTGAACAGTTGTACCTCGTGCACACGATAATGAAAGAAAAAAGAAGAAGAACAAACCCCACCCCAGAAAAAGAGATTTCAGTTGACTGACTCGTGTTAATGGATGACAGCAAATCAGAAGCATAAATGAAACGAAATGAACTAATAACCTGTATTCTTGTGATGAGTTGATGTTACCCTGACATTTGAACCAGAACATCATGCAAAAATTATGAATTTCGTGCTCATTCATAACAATCATACAGCTATCCAGATGCTAGTCATTTGTTTAGGTATGAAATAAGTTAATAAAATAAGTATCACATTGGTAAAACACTGAAAAGTGAACTAGCTTTTAGGTGTTTTTAGGTGTTCAGGGAGGTTGTTCAGCTTTAGAATCACTAGTATTTTTTTAAAATGAGAAACTCCATCCTAGTTGTCACAGTTTCCACTGATACTCACAAAGCACATTTCCCACAACAAACTGAAACTGAGCAAAATTACAACAATTAACACTGAGAAAGAAATCAAATCCAAAGAAGTCAAAGTTTATTTTACTGCTGTTCAACTGCTCAAAATACATTTTTATGTGTTCTCCAAAATAATATATATATACAGTATATATATATATATATATATATATAGTCTGTGGTTAAAATTGCCGACCATAGGAAATTAATAGGAAAAACTCTAATGGCAGGGCAATTATTATTTTTTTTTCAATTCAATTCTCACTTTATTTTTAATGCACAATTACAACAACTGGCACTGACCATTGTGCTGTACAATAAAACATAACAAACATAACCATCAGATACATTCAAGCACAAAGTCACAGATGGAAAAACAGAGCATAAACAGTCAAATATCACATCACAGATAGTAGGCCAGATAAAATAGAAACTTTTTAGCTTAGATTATAATTGTGGCATAAAAGCATTTTTTAAAATATGTGTAAAATAAAATATATGTATCAGCTACTATGCTGAACAAACACACAGAGAAATGAAATGAGACTATAAAACATCCAGAGTGTAAAAGATTCTCATCTACCAACCCACTAACCCTTACGAGCATAAAATGAGTGGATGAGTTTATGACTATACACATTACTGCAAAAATTACTGCGTAAAATTGAGAATTGTTACACAGCAGGTCTCTGCTTAGAACACTCCAGCCATCTATTGACCACAGACACCAGGTTAGATGCCATATTGAATTTAACATTCATTTTTTCATTGCAGGTTGTACCTGCACTCACTCACTCACATCATTAACACATCCCTGCACACTGGTGTTTTTCCCTCAGCATTTAGACAGGCTCGTATAACCCCACTACTTAAGAAACCCACCCTTAACCCATCTATTTTAGAGAACTACAGAACGGTTTCCCTTCTTCCTCTCATTGCAAAAACACTTCAACGAGTTGTGTTTAACCAAGTCCCTGCCTTTCTCACACAGAACAACCTCCTCGACAGCAACCAGTCTGGTTTCAGAAGTGGACATTCAACCGAGACTGCCTTTCTCTCAGTTGCTGAAACACTCTTCTGGCTGAGCTGAACAGGACATTCAGCATGTGTACCTGTTAAACACATTGAGAAGGATGTGATTTAAAACTGGTGAAGATACAGCACAGAATAGCAGCAGGGAAGTATCAGATTACAAGCAGACACAGAAATAACCTACTACGAGTCCTTAAGACTTGCAAACTGACCACTGATCTACATGCATCTAGAGCTTTGTATTTTATAGAGTTAGGCCAAAGACATTTTGCTGTAGAAGCCTGTCTATTGTCATAATCATGAAATGCAACAAAAAACTTTACTGATAAACGCAGTAGCAAGACAACATTTGGCAGAGTTTGTTCAAGCTCAAACATGTCAATTGAATAGAAATGAATTTAAAACTCCAAACACTGATCCTAAGAAAAAAAGTTATAATCATTTAATCTCAAAGAACATAAAAGCTAAAAACATATCTAGGTTCCATCCATATAAATGACGTTTGCGCTTCAGCATACAAACCTGTGAGACTCACAAGCTGTGAAACTGCAGAGAGATATACAAATCCAAAGAAATGCTGAAACATATTCAATGTGCTCAGGGAAAAGCAAATGAACAGAAAAAAACTTAAAACTGAACAATAACAACAACAACAATACGGATGCCATAATATCACAAAGCAAAATAATTTTAAAATAACACCAAGGCTAGCCTCTTAATGAGTTATTCTTAATGACTTATATTGCTGATGACTATATCATTAGCATTAAGTAGCCAACCTTACCTGATCAGATTTTCTCTTGTATTAGCTTTAAAGAACGTGCTTTACAAACACAAAGTTAAAGCAGCCAAAGAAAAATTAATGCTTAAGGGGTAAGAGCCCAACTGAAGCAAACACTGATCTCATGGTGACATTAAACTTGACTATTTTTTAATAAAAAAATCAACATCTAAACTTCTGTTAATTCTCAACAAGAACTTTTATATGAAATTAAGTCAAACTGGTTAGTAATAAACAAAGATGCTGAGATCTTGAGAGATCTGTTAGTGTTTAATGTTCTGTTGCTGCAAGTTATTTGACTTTTATTTATTTATTTATACAGTGAAGGTGCTTGATCGTAATAATTCATGAAATACCTGTAAAATAACAGTGATTGTTAAAGTTTAAATATAGTTTTTGTACTTTATTTAAATTAGAATATTTTACTTAAACGTTACAGTTTTTGTTTGGCAGCCGTTGCTGCCATTTTTTTAAAAGGGTGTGAGCAATGGGGTCATTTGCACCATCTGGTGGTTATTTCATGAACTATTATCGCCATTATTTCTTGTAATTTCTATGTAATTTAAGAAAACAGAAAAATACTCTATAAATAATACAGTATTTTTATGTATAAACAATGTAATGCATCGATAATGATATAATACTTAAAATAACAGCCAAATTGTTAATTTTACAGATATTGTTAGCAATTTTACAAACTTTTGCATACAATTTAAAATGACTGGGGGAAAATATGAGTTATTTTATGTAAAAATAGGGTTTTTTACAGTGTATTTTTGAAAATATATTTATACATTTAAAATATATTTTAAAAAAATATACAAAAAATGGCCAAAAATATATATCCTAAAATATATTTACCAAAAAATATATATTTTCTACCAATATATTTTGGCCATCTTTTGTATATTTTTAATAATATAAATTAATTAATTAAATAATATATTTTAATATATAAATATATATTTTTAAAGCATTTAAATATATATATTTTTGACCTCTACATATTTCAGTCAAAGAAAATGCATTTGCAATGCCCAACATATATTTAGCATATATTTCAAATATATTTTCGCCACAAAATATGTATTTTTTGTTGCCATATAGGCAAGGGAATTCCATTGGAAGTGAGCATGCTGTACTCACTCAAAGGGAGCAATGGAAGACAATATCATTTCATCTTTATCTTCAAAGACAACAAGAATCTCTCATTTATTGCTGTTAATTTAACTGCTGTTAAATGTTGCCATTTGGACCCTCAACCCTCGAGGTAGTCACATTTAGTAGCTTATAAACTGTTCGATCAAGACTACACGTCAAAAATTTCAGATCCGACCCCAGCCGCTGGATCCTGTCAGAGATATCTGTTTTGTCTTTTATCCAAAACCCAGTCAGCAGGGTATTGTCTCATATCCAAAAACCGTTAAAGGATTAGTTCACTTTCAGAATAAAAAGTTTCTGATAATTTACTCACCCCCATGTCATCCAAGATGTTCATGTCTTTCTTTCTTCAGTCGAAAAGAAATTAAAGTTTTTGAGGAAAACATTCCAGGATTTTTCTCCATATAATTGACTTCAATGGGAGCCAACAGGTTGAAGGTCCAAATTGCAGTTTCAAAAATGTTTATCTTTTTAACCACAAATGCTCGTCTTGCACTAGTTATTTGCACTAGCTAATTATTATATTTTTAAAAATAAAAGTAAATTGATTACATTATAAATGATTATAAATAAATAAATTAACATAGAAGGGAAAAAAACAACAACAACACAAATATAGGCCTATGATTAGGCTATTCTCTTGAATCAGCATACAGGTTGCTACCAAGAACCCTTAGATCTTAAATGTTACAAAACATTTTAAACTACATATTAAATCTATTCATGATGAAAATGTGTGTAATATACCACAACAAGACAAATTCATTTATGCTACATTTTTGGTCACTTCATTAAAGCACCGCAGCCTATGTTGAGTTTCTTTTTCTTTTTTATTCCTTTTTTTAACCATGAAATATCAGTTTTAATTGTACATGTATGTAAGTTTAGTGAGCGGGTACGAAATGCAGCGCAAAGGGTGAATTGCTTTATGGCAGCAACAAATGCACGTGTACAGCGATCCACTCATAGATATATATATGTAGATGTCTCATTAGCGACTGTTTCTATGGGCCGCTATACATAAGCCGTCGGCCATATTGTATCGGTCAACTTGAGGTCATTCACCATAGTAATCACTGAATATTCGAAAGATGCCACAATCCTGCACAGAAAGGCTCAATGGCTCTGTGAGAACCTACAGTATGGCGAATGACCTCAAGTTGACCGTTTCAAGATGGCGGCCGCATCTACGTGCCTGGAGCCGTCGAATGGGGTATCTATACATATCTATGGATCCACTGTAATTACGACAGTAATAGCCTATATTTATGGCAATGAAAAAAACAAACAACACATAACTATGTACAGTTGTCGGGTAAAACTTTTGGTTTGATCTGAGAAGGTTAGTTTTCGGCTATAAAAAATAAAACCTAAAATAACCATTAGTAAACGTTCTAAATGCAATGTTCTGGGAAGGTTAGTTTTTGGTTATAAAAATAAACCCTGAAAATAATTAGGAAATGTTCTTAATGGGTTCCCTTTATCATCCTTCCTTATCGAGTAAAAAAAGGCGAAACTTGCTTCCTACTACGGCGAAGGCTTAATATATGAATATTAATTACGTAATACAGACGTTGCTTGGTAACCGTGAAAGAGCGTCCTCTCAGGCAACCTAATTAATATTCATAATCCAAGCCTTCGCCATAGTAGGAAATGTAAACTCACCAGAGGGATTGACACACGCCTCCCATCTCTACGTCAAATCTTTTCCAGCAGCGGATGTTATTGGAAAAGTGTGGCTACAAACCTCAACGTATGAACTAGAAACCATTGAAAAGTTCTCAAAGCTGATATTTCCATTAACACCGCGGATACAGAAGGTAACGGCGCGCTGGCTGAATGACCGGCTCTGTGGCTTTGTGCGCCAGTAGCGTAGCTGCAGCCGCCAGGCCTGTGTTCGCATCATTCACAAGTATGAATCTCCGAGGGATTTTAATCGCTAACGATGTTTATCGGTCTGTGAAAGTTGTTACGTTTCGTTTGTATGTTATGTTTGGCTTTTTAATAGATAGCTTTTACTACTATGTTAATATGACTAAATGACAGTGAGACATGTTAGCTAGCCAGGCTTGTTGTTGCTGATTCTACTGCGATGAATGAGGATTGCATGTATGCAATAGAGCTGGACATGGTCATGCTACACTTGTGTGCTATTTTTGGGGTTAGTGTAGAGACCGGGGCTTATTTTAGCCAGAATAAAGGTAACTTGATTTTCCTTACATTGATGATGAGGCCAGTAACTAATGACACAAACAGCAATTTGCTTGATGGTTCTTTGTATGGTAAATCACAGTAAAAGTTGAGTAATAGTGAAGGTTAGGGCGGTCTTATGCAATCAGCGCTCGCGGCGATGAAAAAGGTTGGATAATCGCTGATCTCTGTTTGAGCGCATCGTCTACTCCAGAAAGCACCAGAACAACCCAAGGCTTCTGCGGGACTTTAAAAGTCTTAGTTCGCCCTTCCACAAAGTAGGCTAAGGCAAAAAGGGGTCTTAAATAAGAACAGAAAGTCTTAAATTCAAGCCATTAAATGCTGCATGCATTGCAAAAAAAATAATATATATATATATTAGGGCTGCACGATAAATCGCATGCGATGTTTAACGCGCATCTTATCAGTAAAGCCGGTTCTGTAATCAGCGGTAAATCTCCATCACCTGCGGGCTTTCACATTGAGCAGCATTAACTACACAGAGCCGTTGTTCACTGATGAGCTGCGCAAAAAATCGCGCGAATATGAACGTGGTTTGGCGCAGCTCGTCAGTGAACAACGGCTCTGTGTAGTTAATGCTGCTCAATGTGAAAGCCCGCAGGTGATGGAGATTTACCGCTGATTACAGAACCGGCTTTCTGACAAGATGCGCGTTAAATATCGCATGCGATTTATCGTGCAGCCCTAATATATATATATATATATATGTCTTCCACAGTAGCTTGATTTGTTTTCCATTGCAAATATCTAAACATCCTTAAATCAAGATACATTCACATGAGATGCAAACTGAACAAAATTAAGTAAGTTTATGCTTAAAACAAGAACAAATATCTGTCAATGGGGTATAAAAAAACTTGTTTTCCCTTTGTATTAAGCTGATTTTTCTGACCCCATTGTCAGATATTTGCTATTGTTTTAAGCATAAACTCACTTCATTTTAATCAATTTCTCATAAGACGAGACTTATTTGGTCATTTTGCTTCTCATTTTGATTTAAAAGTCAAGAAAATCACTTTTTTTTGGAGTTTGATCAGAGAGTACAGTAAAAAAGTAAAAGTAATTAAAATTAAATGGAGATCTGTTGAAAGTTTTATTTTCAAACTTTGAAGCGTTGCTAATACAAGACATTTTCATTCAATTTATTCCTTAAATTTTCCTGGTCTTAAAAGAACTTAAAGGGGTCAGATGACGTTGCTAAAAAGAACATTATTTTGTGTATTTGGTGTAATGCAATGTGTTTATGCGGTTTAAGGTTCAAAAAACACATTATTTTCCACATACTGTACATTATTGTTTCTCCTCTATGCCCCGCCTTTTTGAAACGCG